ACTCAGGAGTTCTAGACCAGCCTGAGCAAGAGCAAGACCGTTTCTACTAAAAATAGAAAAAATTAGGCAGGCGTGGTGGCACGTGCCTGTAGTCCCAGCTACTCCAGGGGCCGAGGCAGGAGGATCACCTGAGCCCAGGAGTTTGAGGTTGCTGTGAGCTATGATGATGCCACTGCACTCCAGCCTGAGCAACAGGGCAAGACTCAGTCTCCAAAAAAAAAAAAAAAAAAAAAACAACCAAGAGATTCATTAAGATCAATAATAAGCATCAAATCTGGCAGAATTTTAAACCCTTAATAATATTACCTAAATAAATTTCAAAAACATTAACTGAAATCATATCCCTAAAAAAAAACCCCAAAAACTAATGTCAACATTAAAGTTGGAAAGAAAATTTTAAAGGCAATAAACTGGTTTTTTTTTGTGTTTTTTTTTTTTTTTTTACTTTCTGAGTAACTGCTTAAGTTTGTAACCTTAAAAAATAAAAAATGTACATGGAAAGAATATTTCGCATGTGAACAGTTTCTAAGAATTTTAATGCCCAATACTCTGTGGCTAGAGAACCAAACCTCCTAACTGGGTGTCAATGGGACTGATTTGGCCACTCGGCTTTTTGCAGGGGAAACGGCAAGCTAAGAGTTAATGAGACTCTGCCTTGGTGGACAAGCCCACTGAAGCGCTGATGGAAGACCAACGAATGTTTGAACAGGGCCCACACTCACATGCCTGAAGCATTACACCTGCCAAAGAGGAAGAAATGCAGAAACATTTCCACATGTTTCTAATTTGGTGGGAGGAAAAACAGCTAAAGCAGATTTTAAAAATATACAATTTCAGTAGTGATCTCAGGTCTCCTGCTGCCTAGATGTTTGGACACATTTTCATTGTTGAGAAGATATACTTAGGTTGTTCCAAATAACAACTCTTTAGAAGGCCGAACAGCTCAGAACTGGAAGGAAATATTTACAAATCAAGTACTAAGAAAAAAATAGTAGGTGAAATCTTACGGTGTATTATTTAAGATGGGATTCTGTTTGTTCAAAAAATAACCTATGAGTGGGCTTTTAAGGAACAAAAAGAAAAGGAAAAATTGATATAAAAGCAAACCAGCTTGGAGACAATTATTTCAGACTTTTTTGCCAGGGATACAGCCTTCATTATGCTTCCCGGAGGCATCTGGGGGAGGGGAGCTGTCCAGTGGAGGCAGCAGTCTCTTCTGCTTCCCTTTGAGGTCTCAGTCCTCTATGAAACAGCAAGGGCTGGGACCCCCTAGGGACAATCAGGAGGCACAAAGGTATCAAATATTAAAACACGTAAAACAACTGTCCTGAAGGAAGCAGTGGCGATGTTGTTCTAGTTAAGCAAATCTAATTTAAAAACATGCAAGGTTACAAAACAGGTGTACATCTTTAGTCAACTGCTCAGGTTAGCAAAAAAGCATGATACTAACGACAAGCAAGAGCCTTGGGACCTCTAGCCTTGAAGTCCTCTTGTCAGAACAGAGCACAACTTTTATGGCACCTATTTCTCAAGCTTACAACTGTCCCCACATGTGATAAAATTTCAATTAATCAAAATTCAATTAACAAGAACTTGGCTCTTCACTTTGTTTCTCTGAAGGAAGGGAGAAGGGAAGGAGGCAGGGAGAGGGGGAAGAGGGGGCAGGGAGAGAGGACAAGAAAAACACCTGATGTGCTTCCAAAACTCAACTCTCAGTCAATGGTCTTCCTAATAGTCAGTGCAATCAGTGCCACTTTCTACAGCTCTACCTTTGGTCAAAACTGATATTTTCCTTTACCCCAAGCTATTGTTAAGATCCTAAATAATCAACTATTAAATTTTGCTCAGCATGATTTAATAAAAAAGAAAATGAACTAAAACTCTTAAATTATATATAAACATTTTAATCCTTGGATATAACAGTTAGCTGAAGGTTTACATGATATGAAGAGCCAGGCACAGCAGACATTCAATGAAGACAGAATTGGTTTTAGAATCTCATTGCGCTCTAACTGAGCGGAAAGCAGACATGAAAAACAGACTGTTTTATCCTGCTTCTAATCGGAGGATATATATATATATATACATTTTTTTTTTTTTTTTTAAATAAGAGACAGAGGGTCTCACTCTGTCACCCAGGCTGGAGTGCAGTGGTATGATCATAGCTCACTGTAACCTCGAACTCCTGGGCTCAAGTGATCCTCATGCCTCAGCCTTAGCTAAGATTACAAGTGTTTGTCACCAACTCTAATTTTTTTTTATTTCTTGTAGAGACAAGGTCTAGCTATGTTGCTGGGATTACAGGCATAAGCCACCCCGCCTGGCCTCGAAATATATTTTTAACTAACTTTTTCAATTAGATATTCTCCTATGTGTAGATTCTCTATAGCAAAAGCAAGTCAGGCCAGCAAGACAGCTCTCAGGAACTAATACGCTAAAACCAAATTCAGGTTTTATGCGTTTTTGGGATTCCCAAGGGCCACAGTAAAAAGATCACATATCCTTTTACTGAGGGTCTAGGTAAGAAATACTACAGTGAATGTATCTGCAGTACAGAAAGTTAATTTCTCTCCCTCCATTTTTTCATTTATTCAATTAACAGTATAAGACACTATGTGAGCCAGGTTCTGTGCTGGGCATTTAATAAATGACACAGGAAACTAAAAGGCCTTTCAGAAATCATTCAGAAATCATCTGCATTTTACAGATGCAGAACTAAGACAACAGAATAGCTAAGTGTCCCAAATTAGTCTTTATCTTGTTGCCTACTCTGATTTTCTTCACAGTATTTAACACTATCTGAACTTATATACACATGTGTACAGTCCATATGTATCTTCTGGCTCCCTGCACTAGAATATAAGCACCCTGAGAGCAGGCGTCTTTCCTCTTCATTCCTTGCTTCAATTCTTAGAAAAGTGTATAGCACATTACAGTATTCAATCAATATTTGTTAAATGAGTAAACTACAGAAAAATGAGAAAACATGTTGAAATGTCACATTGGGACTTGTGAGATTCTAGAACCATTGTGATCTTTACTCCAGAAAAATATCAGTTGTATGACGAGTTGTAAAGATGAGTTGTATGAAGTTGTATGAAGTAACGAAGCTACCAAGGAAAATGTGAGTTGGTAAGAAGTAAATATTTCTTGAAACGGAAGGTAACAAATTAACTTATTCAAGCATACCATATATAAAAGCAGATAACTGTTCCAAAAATAAATATGTGTTAGTTTCTTCCCAAATCAATGTCCAGAAAACATCTGCAGTTCATATTATGAACTCTTCATTCAAGCTACAATTGACTTGTTACCTACTTACTATTATTGCTAAGCAAATTCACACACAAACCTCAGACATTAAAAAATTCAGCACCATGCATCTTAAGTTACTGATGAAGGATGACTTTTATAAAAACTCTATTTGAAGTTTTAATCAATACGTATGAATACTAACTCTGATTTTAATAAAACAAGTTCTCCTATTACTTCAGGTTAGTTTGTAGCAAATGTATTACCAATGAATGTTAAATCTAAGCTCTACTGACAAAAGTTGGTCTAAAATAATGAAAAACCAATATAATTAACCATCTTCTTTGCCTTTCCTCTTCATCTTCAAAAACCAGGAGTTTATTATAAGCAAATAAAAATAATTGAGGCTATTAGGACAAAGAAACAGAAGAAGATTCTTAGTGTCACATGCTTTAAAAATATTTTTTCGCTCTAATGATGTCCATTAATTTATTCAACAAATATTTACTCAGCACCTATTATAATATCCAAGCACCTTGCTAGTGATTAGAAGAAAAAAGTTACCAGAAACATTCATATTTGAAGAGATAAAAACTCAGAAGGATCTTCTGGACTTCCAGTAAATGTGAAAGATTACAAGATTTTTCAAAAAGATGTTTCAACTTACATTTTGTTCCTCTGGTTCTAATTTGGGGATTTTGTGTGACTTGCGCTCTTCAGATCTCGATGAGTCATGCTTGTTGCTTTTTTTCCTCTTTTCTTTTCTGCTTTCATGCTTTGACTTTGTGTGCTCACTTGCCTGTACTTCATTTAAAAGGTCCCCACAAAGGGAAGACTCAAACAATTCCCTGCCATTCTGGATAGTTTTGGTTATTTTTAGTTTAATTTCAGGTGAGCCAGTCTTCTTTGGAATCACAGTTTGTGGTACCGAAGGAGGAGGTGGTGGCTGTGGAGGGGAAGGTTTTTCCAGAATTTCATGTGGTCTTGTGTTTGGAATTTCTGAATGGTAATAGTCAGTGGGGCTAAAGTTTCTAACTGCACCAAAGCCATTGGCTGACCCATTGGGATACTGATTATATGACTGGTATTTGGTTTGAGTTTCATATATGCTGATTGGCGGTGGATAGCCGTTTGTGAGTGGAGGAAGATCTTCTGTTGTAGGTGGGTACTGAAAGCCTTGCTGCAAGGTAGCTTCATATGGTATCTGGCCACCATCTTCAGCAATGTCACTGTTGTTATCAAAGGCATCCTCCTGGCGGATGTTGGCGGAGTCAATGAGTTGAGGTGGTTGCTGAATTGTGTTTCCCATGATCCCTTGCATGAAAGAGAAAGAGAAATCCATTGTTCTGCTCCAGCATCCTTAACTTTCCCTTTCTCTCATCGGGCCTAAAATTATAAAAGAGGGGATTAAAATGTGTTAATATCCTCATAGCCTAGACGCTAATCAACTGATAAAGGATTAAACTAAAATGTTTTGAACCCAATTTTCATGTCCCGATATGCACAGATATTAAATTTTTCTAAAACAGCCAATATAATTCTCATACAGGGCAAATACTTTTTATCTTAAATGCTTATCTGTTTGAAACTCTTGATTACTTTCACAACAACCATGGCAACAAAATTTTATCCTCTGTGCAAACAGGCAAAAAGTTTTGACATTCCTTTCTGTTTCCCAAGTTATAGGTAAGTCTCAGGTTAAAACAAAATAAGCAGTGTCCTGACACATACAAATTAGTTTCCATAAGAGCTTCCTTTTCTTTTTAATTTTTATTTTTTTGTAGAGACAGGGTCTTACTATGTTGCTCAGGCTGGTCTAGAACTCCTGGCCTCAAGTGATCTTCCCACCTCAGCCTCCCAAGGTGATGGGATTACAGGCATGAGCCGTCATGCCTGGCTATAGGAGCTTCCTTTAAAATCATTCATGCTTAGTCCAATGGTTCTTTTTATTATAAAAACAAAATCTTATTGCAGATATTTTAAATATGAAATATTTAAAGCATTTAAGTACTTAAAAGCAAAGAGGCCCCTCTCACCCAGGCTCCATCATTCCCACTTTTCTGTGCCACAGACAACCGCTGCAAACACTTGGCTGAGTATTCTTCCACGTCTTTGTCTATTTACCGGCATAAAATTTTAAAAATAGGGCTTATTCTGTGCTTGCTTTTTTAACTTAACAATATATCCTAGACATATTTCTACATCAGCATGTATAGATAATTTTCATACATATTCATTCTTTAACTGGTTGCATAGTAAACAAATGTGATGTATTTAACTGTTTGTGTACTGATAATCAATTAGTTACTTACAACTGTTTGATATTATAAACACATTTACAAAAAGGATTCTTTTTTTTTTTTTTTTTTTTTTTTGAGACAGAGTCTTGCTCTGTTGCCCGGGCTAGAGTGCGATGGTGTCAGCCTAGCTCACAGCAACCTCAAACTCCTGGGCTCAAGCGATCCTGCCTCAGCCTCCAGAGTAGCTGGGACTACAGGCATGCGCCACCATGCCCGGCTCATTTTTTTGTATATATATATTTTTAGTTGTCCAGATCGTTTCTTTCTATTTTTTAGTAGAGATGGGGTCTCGCTTTTGCTTAGGCTGGTCTCGAACTCCTGACCTTGAGTGATCCACCCGCCTCGGCCTCCCAGAGTGCTAGGATTACAGGCGTGAGCCACCGCGCCTGGCCACAAAAAGCATTCTTAAACTATATTTTTGTGCATACATGTATTTCTATAGGACAGATTTGAAATTTTGATACTGAAAAATTGTTCTACAGGCTGTACTATATCAACGTACACTCATACCAATCGTGTGTGTGAGGATGTCTGATTCTCTATACTCTTGCCAGTATCTAGCTGTTTTTAACAAGTGTTATATATAGCAGAAGCATCTGGGGTACTTTTACAAAATGCATGTGTCAGGGTCTATCTCCTAATGATTCTGATTCAATAAATCTGGGTGAGGCCCAGAGCACAAGTATTTTAAGACCACATCCCAGCTGACTCTGATGCGCACTCTTGGTTGGATCACTGCATTATAATCTTTGCATTATAATCAATGCACTGTACTTTTACAATTATTGCACATTCTCTAGAAGGTATCTAAAGATGCCTACATTCTGTAATAATGTTGTAATATACATATGCAGCTGTTAGGAAATGCTACAAGACCATCCTGCCTTGTCATAAGGTTTGACAAGTGCACATCTCAAGACAGAGGATTAACGGACAGTCCATATATTATTTTGATAACCTCATAAACATTTCCTCTATAAAGCTCTAAATCAGGGAGGACAAATAGGTTTTCGCTATCGTGTCAACTCTGATGAACTGATTGTAGCTACCTGGAATACTGAAGGATTCTGAGGCTACACCCCAGGTCAACTCTATTACTAATAATTCTATTGTTGATAATAGAATTACTAATAATACACTGATTAATAGTATCTACCACCTTGTTTCCAGTAGGATTTACCATAATAATAAAGCAAGTAACCCACACAGCAAAGGGAAGAGGGAAACAAAAGCTAACAATACACTTTTCAAGGTGTATCCAATTATATAGCAGCTGTTTATTCTGTTAGCAAATGGAAATAATTTTAGAAGTTCTAAAACTGCAAACAAATGAATAATACAGCACACAAAAAAATCAAACTGCCCATACTGCTCTACCCTGGGGAGGAGGGATAGAGAGCACTCTCGTTTTCTTAGTGTCTTCTCTGGGTCAAGCACTTTATACGTTATCTCATTTAATTGTCATAACAACCGTACAAGATAGGTATTGTGACTTCTGGTTTGTAGGTAAAAGAAACCGAGCTTCATAGGGGTTAGGTGGCCTATTTAAACTACAAAGCAAAGGAGCAGAACTAGAATTTGGATCTAAACATGTCTGGCTCTAAAGCCCATGTACCACTAGATCACTTCTGTTTCCCTCAGCTATCAGTTCCGAGAGAAGAATTTGTTTCTTTTGTTCATGAACTTTATTCCTTGGTCACCATCGAAATAACAACTATTCCAAGACCACCATTAACACATACAGTACTTTGTATGTGCCAGGCACCATTCTAAGTGTTTTACATACAGTACTATATTTAATCCTCCCAACAAACTTCAGGCAGATCTTATCTCCCATTACAGATGGGGAAATAGAGGCATAGAGAAGTTAAATGACTTGCTCAAGTGCACATTGCTAGTAATTAATGGACAGAGCCAGGATTCAACCCAAGCAGTCTGGTTCCAGAATCTGTGCTCCTGACCAGCACACCATACTTACTGATAATGCTGATAACATGTTAGAAATCATCTCTTCATATATAGCTTAAGAATGGAAACATTACCCTAACTGGACCCTTGGCAAAAACGTATAGCTCACAGCAAAAGACATGAGAAGCAAATGTCTTAAAATTCTGTTAACACACATGAAGCAACTATACAGGCAGAATTCACGAGTTCTCATTCATACTTCCAACTTGAAGGCAAGTTAGATACTGATGTTTAATGAGATGCAACCTTGTTTTTGGTTCTTGTAACTGTCACACACAGGATCAGCTTCCAGATTAGTCTCCCAAATGATAGTCTATAGGTTTTTCAGGCATAAGTATTCAGAGACTCAGATTTCTGATGCTTTGATTTAGTTCCAAATACAAGCTTTTCAGAAATTTGTTATTGTCTCCCTTTTCCTCTCTTCTCTAGCCCTAGCTCCAAATGTTTCGTTTTAGTTTGAACTAAGAAAAGAAATAACATTACTGTCTTACAATTATTTAGGAGTTTGCAATCACAGAGTGTTTACATATGCATTCTTATTTGACCCTCAAAACAACTCTGAAAGGCTGACAGGGCAAGTGTGTGTTAGCTTCATTTTTCAGATAACTACACTGAACAGTTGAGATGCTGACTTTCCCAAGACCACAAAGCTAATTACTGATTAAGCCTAAAAAAGAACCAACCTTCTGATTTCTAATCCTGTGTTCTTTCTACAATATCCCCCACCAGTGAATAACCAACTACCTAAGGACAACCTTACTATAAACTTACTATAAAAGTCATTCATTGAAAAGTGAATGCACTCTCCTTTCCCTAACGCAGTTTCCCTTTCGAGTACCCCAGATCTGTCACTGCTTCCACTAGCTTCTAGCTTCCCAGACTAGAAACCTCAGGCTCATGTGATTCTTCCCTCTTTGTTAAGCCATGAAACAAGTCATTGAGCAAATCTTGTACTTCTTTGAATCCTCTCTCATTTGTTCTTGATCTCTGAGCCCATGTCAAGACCCAGATCAGGCCCTCAGCACCGTATCCCGACCTATGACGACGGATTTTCTAGATACTTCTTGCCTCTAACTTCTTCCTGCACAGCAGTTAGATTATGCTTCCTAAAACCAAACTTCAATAAATCTATTCCCACACTAAGAAACTCTAAAGCTCCGTATTATACCAAATCCCCTCCATGCCTTTCACGGTTTTCTATAACCTGACTTTTTCCTACCAACCCAAACTGTAAGTGCATGAATTAACTTTCCTGAACATCCACTGGGCCAAATATCTGTAAACTGTGGTCTCACTTATATATTACATTTGGTCAGTTCTATGAAACAAATTATTTCCATTTTTCTTATATAACTAACAATCTCGTGAGAGACACAATTGTTAAATGACCACTAATAAATACATGAGTATGGAATTTGATGAACAAACTGAAAGGAAAGATGAGAAAGAATGGACCTCAGAAAGATCAAGCAGTTTGCCCTTAGTCACACAGCCAATAGGAGTTGAATAAAATGGTGAAACTCGGATCTCCTAAATCCAATACAGTGCTCTTGACGCGGCAGCTGCCTTACGATCTGCAAACTATCCAGACTTCCCACCGTTTCACTTTTTTCCAATATGCTCCATACACACAATCCAAATGTCTATTTGACAGCTCCTCTCGTATCTTAAAATAATAATGAACTCTTAGTTTTTATTCTACTTAAATGTGTCCTTCCCTCAACCTTTCCCATCCAAAAATAAATAAATAAATAAAACCTCCATGTATCAGTTGTTCAAGCCAAAAACCTGAGAATCAAGATACATCTCTCCGCCTCATTCCCACGCCTACCCACTCCATCGGCAAACTGCCTGAGTTTTCTCTCTCACGCTCTTCTATTTCTCTCCATCTCTTTTGCTCCTCACACCAGTCCGAGCTATGAAGAAACCTCACCGTGTCTGTCCCAGTTAGCTTCCCAGTCTCCGTGCTTCTCCTCCAGCCTCTCTAGAATCCACTTCTCCGTGTAATATCCAGCGACCTTTTTAAAACAACTCCAATCATGCAACTATCCCCCTGAAGACCCTTCAACAATACAGCAAGGAAAATAAACTACTGCTGTGCTCAACAACACAGATGAC